TATTTGAGTATTCGTCAATTGTGATATCCAAAGTCATCTGTATTCTCTTCGATGGTAATATTTGAAGTCATTTGTGTTTACTCAATAGTGATATCCGAGTACTCTTTTATGGTGAAATCTGAAGTCATTTACATTTATTCTATGGTGATATTTGAGTATCCATATTTGAATTTGCATTCCTCTCGGTGGTGATATCCAAAGTCATTTCTACTCAATAATGATATCAGAGGTCTCTTCGGTGGTGATATCCAAATTCATCTTATTCTTCAATGGTAGTATCAAAGTTTTCATTTAGATTTATTTTCAAAAATCTTTGAAAGCAAAAAAAACGAAAAAAAACAAAAACCTCCAACACAAAAACAAACAAATAGCACACAAGCAACACCCTTTCAACCCTTGGTTTCAAACAATATCAGTATCTTTGATCTTAGCATTATTTTTTATTCTTAGAGGTATTCAAAGAAGGGTAACTATAGATAAGTAATCTGTCTAGACAAAATTCAATCATTTGTAAAGTTCTTAAAATCCTACTCGGTTTACATCCAATATTTCTTTAATTTTGACAAATTTTTAAAATCAAAATTTGAACCAATTTGACTCAAACGTCTCAAGGTCAAACTTGGTCAAAATTGGCCAAAATCGGTTAAAATGGATATAATTCAGGTTAACTTTCAAAATTCACAACCAATTGGAATCAATATGACTTGAAATTAAAATTTGTGATTTTAAAGCATTAAAAAACCTAATTGCACTTTGAGAAAGGTAAAATTACCAAAATACCTTTTAGGTATATTTTCGTAATCTGACCTTTTTTAAGTTGGATTTTAAAAAACTTCAGATCATAATTAAATATTTTTAATGATTTTTGAGAATTAAAAACTTTTATCACATCTTGAAAGGTGTGAAATTACTAAAATATCCTTAAGGGCATTTTCATAAATTGACCTTTCTAATATCAGAATGTCATGAAAAACTCTAGATCATGATTTAATATTATTTGATGATTTTTGAAATATTGAAAACCTTAATCGTACCTCAAAAGGTATGAAATCACTAAAATACCCTTTATAAGTATTTTATAATTTGACCTTTTCACTTTCAATTTTTCGTAAAACATTTCAAATCTTGTTTTTAAATTATTTGATGATTTCTATTGCATTAAAAACCATGGCAGCACCTTAGAAGGTGTGAAATTACTAAAATGCCTTTTAAGGGTACTTTTGTAATTTGACCCTCATGAGGTCAGATTTTCACAAAAGATTTTATATCTTAATTTCATATTACTTCATGATTGTTGGTGCTTTTGAATCATGAAAATGAATAAGGAAGCATCATTTTCCAAAAAAATGGCCTAGAAACCAAAAACTTTCTAATAGGGGTAAAATGGTCTTTGCACTTAGTTCTAACAATATTAAGAATCCAATCTATGGTAGTAAGCATTCTCAACCATAGGATGGTCTTACGGGCCTAGATCCAATGGTTAAAGGTGGCCCCTTCCTAAGATAACAAGGTAGAATTTGTAACCATTAGCTGAATTTTTAATCCAAAGGCTTGTATACATTGGAGGGTAGATATTTTGTTCTTTTCATGAAAAGAGCTGGCAGAACATTTGCAAGAGAAGAAAAAGCTAGGATTTGAAAAAAAAATTAATGGAGAAAATAAAAAAATAGAAAAAGTTGGAGAGCTTTCTTAGAGGTATAATTTGTAGTTTCCTTTCTTTAATTTCATAGATTTTTCATTGCATTTTCATATCAATTTTTTGTTTTGTTTCTTCTTGAGAAAATTTACTTTTTTGGGTTGTTTTTAGCTTCTAAATTGATCTAAAAACTCAATCAACTAATCCATAGATTGATTTGAGACAAAAGATCACAAAAAACAAAAAACAAATCCACCATTACAACCATTTAGAGGTTCAGACAAGCATGGATCCACCATGACCGAACCTCCTTTTGATTCCATTTGATGATTTTGTTGCTTCTAAATAATGTTTATGGTGATTAGATGATTATTTTTCTTGTATTTTGCATGAATTTTGATTAGCTAATGATGTGTGTTTGGTGTTTGGCTAATGTTTTTGTTTTTATGGTTTCCTTATTATTTTATTTTGTAACATGTTTGATGAAATTCCTCTTATGATTAAAATGTTTCTATATGATGAATACCTTGATGGTTGATGCATGTTTGAGTTGAATGGAATGACAACATGGTTGTGGGAGGGCTTAGGGAGGTTCGGCCAAGCCATTCCCATGCTTGGCTGAAGCCTCCAAGCTTGTTCGTGGCTAAATGTTGGTTCTTTCATCCTTGCTTGCTTGTGTTCTTGCATGATTCTTCAAGTTTTTAATGTGTTAGATTAAATTTTTCATGAATAAAATACTAGTTTAGTAGGTTGTTTGGTGATTTTTGTGTTTATTTGCTTGAATTTCAATAGAAAAAAATGGTGGAACATGTCTTGAAAGTTTAAAAAATTTTAGTGTTTGATCCATTTATATCATATTTTCACATGCACATTAAGTTTGTTAGATAGTTTTAAATGCCTAGACTTGTAATTAGTTTGTTCCTTACTCATGTATTTTTCATGCATCAATAATTACATTTTTACCAATAGCACTTTTGTTATTTGTCACATGCATCAATATTAATATTTTTACCAATGACATTTTAGTTATTTGTTTTTATCACATGCATTTCCCATGAAACCCCACATTTCAAACCCTAAACCACTCATGAACCCTAAACCACCCTCTAAACCTTAAATCACCCTTCAAACCCTAAACCACCAATCAAACCTTAGCACCCATGAAACCTCAAACCACCTATGAAACACTAAACCACCCTTGAAACCCTAAACCACTCACGAAACCCTAAATCACCCATGAAATCCTAAACTAAACCCTAAACCATAACCTTAAATTTTAAATCTAAACCCTAAACCTTAAACTTAAACCTTAAACCCTAAACTTAAATCCTAACCTTAAACCTTAAAACCAAATCTTAAATCCTAAACCAAACCTTAAACCCTAACCTGAACCCTAAACTAAACCTAAATCCTAAGCCAAACCCCAAACTAATCCAAACCCTAAATTGAACCACAAACCCTAACCTAAACCCTAAACTTACTTCAAACCCTAAAAATCCAAACCGATCAAAACCCAAAAACCAACCCTTGATCCTATTCATACATTTGCATTTCATTTCACTTTGTTATTAAATGCATTCTTAAATTGTCATGCATTTATATTTTGTCATTCATATAAATCATTATGCATTCATATTATTATCATGTTTATGCATACATGCAAAAAGTTTATAAATAAACTTTTTCAAAGAAAAATGTTTTTAAATAAGATGACATTTCAAGTAAAAAATAGTCTTCGAGATTTGACCTAAATATAAGGGGATATAAGGGAATTCTTGATGACTATCATTTATACAAGGTGTTATGTCGATTTATGGGCAAATTTGAAAAACCTAAAGTTAGAAATGCTTTTGAAGCTCGGCCTAAATATATAGAGTGAAAAAGGTATCTCGATACTTAAGACTTTTTCATCTTAATCCAAAAATAAAATGTTTTATTTCCAAAAGAAAAAGTTGATTTGTTTTCAAAAAAAAAGAAAAGAAATTTCAAGTTTTGCAAAAGAAAAAAAATAATTTCTAAACATTAGAATAGGACATGTAATCAATTAGTACAATTTTCAACGGACGCTGTGTGGGTGTTAATATTTTCTTACGCGTAATCAACTCTTACATCTAATTTTGTTTTCGTAGACTACGAAAATATTCTTTTGTAAAATTTTAAACCCATTTTAAAATATTTTATTAAAAGAACAAAATTTTTTTTACAACCAATCATACCCTAAGAAAGATTTATGACGATTTTTTATTTTGATTTTTGTTGAAAATGCTTTTTTAAAACCCTGCTTTTCTCATTTCCCATCATCCTGCAAACGAACACTTATTGGTCTCGAAATGTCGTGACATATTAAGTATAATTTTATTTTAAAATATTAATTTAATAAAAATAATAAATACAACACAAATAAAAATAATAAATATAACACAAATGATAACTTATTAAAATTATTGCAAATATCAAATTAATATATATTTTAACATCAAACTAGTATATTTTAATTTATATATATGTTATAATTTATAATATAATTTAAAATAAATTATATATTTTTAATTATCATGGACATACATACATATCAATGTATCGTTTAGAATAAATTATATAATCTATTATAATTATATATAGCATCACTTATCATGTGATTTATAATAAAATATATAAAACAAGCAATTAATTTGTTTAAATATGTTATGTTTATATTATAATTATATTATTAATTTTTAATCATGTAATTTAAAAAAAATATATTTTAATGAGCTATAATTATACTAAAATCTAAAATAATAAGCTATTAAATAATGAGTTACAGTTATACTAAAATAATTATTTATATTATTTTTATATTATTAATATAAAAAATAATTTTATATTAAATACATATCATAAAAAATATTTAAAATAATTTTTATATGATTATATTAAATACGTAATATTGTATTACAATTAAAAGTTTAAAATATTCTTTAGAGATTAATATTAAATTAAAATAAATATAAAACCTATAAAACGTTTTAAATGTGACTAACATGTTTTCCCACAATACACCTATGGCATGTTTTAATTAAACATATTTTTTATATCATACATGTACCAAAGTTTGTGTCAAAATGGCTAAACATGAAATACATTTTTCTAAAACCCAAAAAATTTTTCCCATATCATTTTAACGTCACGTTATCATGTCGTGTTTAAATTTGTCAAATATAATAAAATCACATATTTTTTCATTTATAAAAATATTAACTTCAATTTAAAGCTTACAAATTACAATATTTATATTTACTTTTAAAATATTATTTTTTATTTTAGTTTTTAATAAAATTCTAAGAAAATCTGAATTGAACTTTTGAAATAATATGTTTAGATTTAATTTAATTTGATTCTAAAAATCAATAAATGAAACTTGAAATGATCTTAACCCAAACAATCCCGATGATAAATTCAAAATACTAAACTGAAATGACCCAATCTAAAATTAATTTAAATTTTTAAGATTCGAAATGATCTGAACTAAATTGATTTGATCCAAACCCAACCCGATCTGTCCTATTGATAGGTTTTCATTAGAACTAAATTTAAATTCATGATTAATTTGAATAAAAAATATTACTTCCAATTTTAGCTATTTTGATCTACAGATTTAAAAAGAATGTAAGACTTACATAGTGGCACTCTTCCCTTAACGATATTCATAAATAAATGTATTAAGTTAAATGATTAATATGAAACTTTAGAGAAATACTGACAAAAAAAAAAAAAATACTCTAGAGAAATAGAGATATGAAGGTCCGATGAATTTTAAAAAATAAAAATAATATTTAATATAAAGTAAATAATATTTAAATAATACCAAACTATTTAAATCCTGTTTAATCAAGTTCTATCGGTTGTTGACGGATTCAAACTGAAAAGGCCACTGATTCTTCGTCGCATTTTTACAACCATGATGACAGTGGCGCTGGTCGTCCCTTCTGAATTTAATATCCAAAATTGTTTTTATTATTAATTATTAAGGAAAATCTTGTTTTTTATATGATAGTTTGATGTACATCTCATATTTATAGTAGGTTTTTTTATTTTTTTAATAAAAATCTAAACTTACAATGGCACTGTCTAAAGATAAAATTGTATCACATTTTAATATTTTAAGATTTCATTCAGTCTTTTTCAATTAAAATGATTGATGTTACCTCTTGCTAATAAATATATCTATTCTCGCTCTCAAGGCTAGATTTAAATTCTCCCTTATGTAAAAACAAGAAATACGAAAGACTAATGACAGTGATAGTGTCAAATGAAATGTGATTGCCTACTCAGAAATCAAAGCAAAAGATAGGAACTAACTAGGAACCTTGGATAGAAAATTCAATAAGGTATGCTTTGCAATTATTATTATTATTATTATTATTATTACTACTTAAAATAAGAGTTAAGATGTAGAAACAGTTCTTGCCTTAAGCCAACGCTCCTATCCCCATGATGCAAGGATTGGTCTTTGCAATAATACAAGTATTATTTCTTTTTTGTCTTCATCTTTACGAACATGCGTCAATTGTCATGTAGATCTGGGAATTTTTCTAGTAATTGACAGTTGCTTTGATGGTGTCCAATATCTGCACACGAGTAACCACCATAGACTACATGTTAGCGAAGTTGCCAGATAATTCACCCAAAATTTTGAAATTGAAGGACCACGAAAAAATAACCTTGTTCTTCGTTGGCATGTAGAAGGGTTCAAAAACAAGAGGGAATGGGGTGTCAAGGCCACACACTCTTGCTACTGGAGCTTCTAACTGTACAAGCACAACAAAATGCATTTCATTTAACATTTATCCAATACCTGCCTGTCCAAAACATCCATTTTAGCAGTATATTTCAACCGCCAATGACTGTTGCATGCTCACTTTATTTATTATAGTGCTAACGAGAAACACCTAGCAGGAAATGAATGTTGACAATGTTTGAAAGTTATTTCAATAAATGTCAGATGTCATCCTATGGAAGCACAATAATCATTATTTTCTTTGCCAACTACAGCACCAGCTCATCATGCCTTCTTTAATTGAACAGCCAATTTTGGCATTTATTGTTGCTAGAAAGCACAACTGTTGGTTCAACATCAATGGCAAACACATCCAACAGAAAGTTTAAGTTGGTACTTGGCACAAAAAAGCATAACTACCTATTTACGAGTACCAAAATGCTGTGCAAAAAATGTTCCGTAACAGGGTACAATCAAACCAGCAAACACATTATGTAAATGTGTTGTAATTTTAAAGTAGGATATTTCCTAAAAAAAATTGTTTCAAAAATCAGATGCCCTGAAAACAACTACATTGGGTAATGTAAGTATTTTATATGGATGGAGAACCTCATGGTGTTATCCTAGGTCAGTTAAATCAAATTATTTTCCACATAACCATGCTGCTAATGAGTCCTTCTAGATTGTAGCAACTTAGAGTCAGTTCCATACTTCCATCCCACAAGGTCAAATTCTAGAAACTTTTGGTCAGTTCTGTTCCGATTCATGCACTCTTGTCACCAGAAAGACAACTTAGCATGCTGTACCTCCTCTTTTTTATTTCCTTTCTGTTTTTTCTTTTAATATTATTGGTTTTGGATGGCAGGGGGTTGGTGGTGGCAGTGTGTTTAGGAATTAGAGGAGCAAAAATAAGATTGCTAGTGCCTATAAAAGACCTGGGATTCCATCCTAAAGAAAAAAAAAAAAAAAGGAAACTAGTTGAATAGGCTCACTGTAATAATCCACAAACAGAAGAAAGCAAATGGAATTAATTACCCTTAAGAAGCAACGTTCAACAATGGAAGCTGAGATCTCAGCACCAAATCCTCCTGTAACTGGAGCTTCATGACTAATCTATGCAGAAGAAAAGAACACATTAACTGCCAACCAATTTGATGGGACATATTCATACTTACTAAAAATAATGCTCACAAGAACTCTTCCAGTTTTTCTGACAGAAGCTTCAACAGTTTCTTTGTCCCAGGGTATTAGAGTTTTCAGATCTATAAGTTCACATGAAATTCCATCCTGCAAAACCTCATAGTACAATGAATTTAAATGTTTCAATGGTAAAAATTTTTAAAAGTAACCTGAACATATAACCATATCAAATCAGTGCTCCTTCTTGTGTATCACACTATGGTCATTGATCAACAGAACCAAGAAATAGAATTACTAACCTTTTCTGCATCAATACAGGCTTGTTCCATGATGGAGAGTTGCGCTCCCCACCCTACTAGTGTGATGTCACTGCCTTTTCGAATCACCTAAAGTATTGCATTCACGATTTTAAATTAAGATTCAGAATTTTCTATTGAAACAGAAAGAAGCAGTTACCTCTGCTTCGGATAGAGGCAACATATAATCATGCTCAGGCACTTCTCCGACTGCCAAACGGTAAAGCCACTAGAATTCCAAGGAACATTAACAGTTTTAGTCAAAGAAATCATCAAGGACAAATTCTGTACAAATGAAACTTTCAATCTGAGATACGTTTAGCAAGTACCTTTGGTTCAAAAAAGACAACAGGGTTTGGATCACGAATGCATGACAACAGTAATCCTTTCGCTTGCATTGGGCTGCGAGGAATGACCACCTATAGGAGAAGCACTTTTTAGAGGGAGAAGGCTTTATGAATTTCAAGAAGATGTCATTTCGCATGGAAAGTTTAGGAACCAGAAAAAGTGTCAAATGTTTCAAAAACCTCGTGTACATATATTTGAACAAAATGTCTCAATAAAGGTTTAATTAAATAAGAAGTAATTTGACCAACATACAGGGACAAGAAAAGGACAATAGAACAAATAATGCAATAGTTCTTGCCATTAAAAATACCCAAGTTCAAAGTGCAATAAGTACGCGGCAAAATGTCAGCTAAAGTTATTCAGTTCTTCCATGGGCAAATTAGGAAATGTTCACATGGAGCATATCTTTTTTATCTGATAAAGAACTGTGTGGCAATAGTACATTTGAAGGAAAAGGAGGAAATGAACTGTAAGTGCTAAAAGAATGAAAAGTTTAAAATAGAATGAAATAACATAAGTTTGTGTGTTGTGGTTGCTAATCCATTTACAACTTGCGCACATGGTGCCCAGATTGCATCACAATGATAACCTGTATGATTTCATGAAGTTAATTATCTGAAAGATACAAAATTAAGCTATTTCTATGGTTTTCCTAAGCATGCAAGTACTAATGGGCTACTGCACTTGAAGGAAAAGGATAGCATCAGAGAATAATAAATGAAAGAAAAGGAAGCTCGGGAAGTGGAAATATACTTTGATACCAGGAACATGGCAAAAGAAAGCTTCAGGTGATTGCGAGTGGTAATGTCCACCATGACCCACAGCGCCATAAGGGGCTCTTATTGTCAAACCTGGAAATTTGCTTGAAATGTCATCAAGCAAAGAAATAAAAGGTGCTGGTTGAGAGAATCAGAATGAAAGGCTAAGCATTAGAATCAATGACCAAAGATACCTCCACAATTAAATTGATTGCCGCTCCGGTATCTAAACTTGGCTGCTTCATTTACAATCTACAAGAATAAATTATGCTTAATCAAAAAAAAAAAAAAAGGGAAAAGAAAAAGGTGTAGATTGGGAACTTGAACAGTAAAGAACTAGAGAAGACGCTTGCCTGATCAAAAGCAGGGTAAATGTAATCTGCAAACTGAATTTCTGCTATGGCCCGATTTCCCTGTTCGATGAAAACAAGAACATAGCGATTGTATTAGATAGATTAGAAAGGGAAACTGTTTTAAAGGTTGAAAATTTGAGCTTATGCAGTCAACTGATTCGATGCTCATACTCACCATTGCGGCTAGGCCAATACCAAATCCGACAATGCCCTACAAGATTATTAAAGCTTGAAAATTATTGAAACTACATCTTCTCAAAACAGTAATTATTCAAAAAGACCAATACAATATTATATTCTAATCAGAAATATAATAGACACCCATTGACCTAACCTGTTCACAGAGAGGGGTATTGAAAACCCTAGTTTTACCAAATCGGTCAGCGAGTCCCGTTGTGCAACGGAAAACACCACCAAAGCTCACATCTTCTCCAAAAACAAATGCGCTGGGAAGTAAATGGGAAAAGGAAAATGAATTGAATCGTAAATAATCGTAAATAATAAGGAAATTAGAAAGAAACGAACCGAGGATCAGTTTCAAGCGCAATATGAAGGGCTTGATTGATTGCAGAGTAAAGGTTGATGGATTTGGCGTTGGTGTTGGCGTTGGCGCTGTGTTGATTCTCAACATCGCAAGTAGCAGTCGAAAACGGTCTCTTCCAACCATGGCCAAATCTTCTGCCAATAATATTCCTCAAAGCAGTACCAGTGCCCATCTCTAATTTCATTTTCTGCAGCGAACACTTTTCTTCAACTTCCAAATTTCAATCACTGAAAATCACGCCATGCTAATCTGCCACGTGTCATATTTTTATTGCTTATAATTTTTATTTTAAATTATTACCAGTTTGTAACCCGCATGGATTGTTTTATTTATTTAAATGTACGCTGTAAAATTTATATTTTTTTTTACAATTATATCTAAATTTAAAATTTTATGATAAATATAAAATATAAGATACAAAATATAAATATATATTCAATTAATTAACATGTCATAAGAAAATTAAATTTTATTATTATTATCTTGATCAAAATATTGAAAATAAATATGAAAAATAAGAGATATTAAATATGAATCAAGAATTGAATATAAATATAATATTGATTTTTTAAGCGAACATATATATTGAATTATCAATTAAATAATTAAAAAAAGTATTGATTACCTTTACTAAATTATGATTTTGATCAAAATATTAAAAAAAATATCACTCAAGAAATGTGTGACAAACAAAATAAATAAATAAATAAATAAATAATGTCAAAAGAAAAAAATCATCTAAGTAAAATAAACAATAAAATTACAAAAATAATATAAATCTTAAAGGAAAATTGAATATTGAAAAAAAATGACGCAGCATATATTATTAATTATTAATAAACTTAAAGTGGTATATGTTTTATGCATTTATAAAGAAATTAATAATAAAGTATTTGATAATTAAAAAAAATGGAAGAGATATATGTGATTTTAAATTTATGAAGAATATTTTTGTTTTAATTTTTGTTGCATATTTATATTAAAAAATCAATAATTTAATTTGTTTTTAAATTTATTAATATTTTAATTAAAAATTAATTATTTGGTTAATGAATATTTTGTCATATATTATTATATTTTTATCTACGTAATGTTAGTTTAAACCCACACGAAAATTTAAATTCACCATCTATATAAAAATATTTTTTCATCTATTTTAGTCTTAATTATTTTCTTAAGGAATTGTATATATCATAGGACATATGAAATAATTTTAAAATTATTATTATAATGCAAATAAACAATAACTATAAATATTATATGTTATTGTGGACCTATGATCTTATTTAACTTATTAAAAAAAGTTTTTTTTATAACATTTAAATTATTTTATACACATAAAAGTAATTTAAATTACGAGTTGGTTATATTTTTATTGTACATGATGAAATTATAATAATACACATTTTTTGTGCTACATTTAGTTTTACTGACTATTATACAAAAAATTTTGAAAACATATATTACAAATATAATAATAAAACCATAATATTTTAAATATACCCACATTTTATATAATAATAATAATAATAATAATAAAAAATAAATAAATAAAGGATTGAAGTCCAAAACTTCAAAATTGTTTTACAATGTACTTATATAATTTAAATGCAAGATGAAAAATACATACATGTTTTATATAAAAAAATTCTTAGTTTAATTTTAAATGAAATTTTATTTTTATTTTTTTATTAATAATAATAATAAATAAATAAAGGATTGAAGTCCAAAACTTCAAAATTGTTTTATAATGTACTTATATAATTTAAATGCAAGATGAAAAATACATACATGTTTTCTATAAAAAAATACTTAGGTTAATTTTAAATGAAATCTTATTTTTATTTTTTATTAGAATAATCTCAATAATCTTATCTCATTTAAATGAAGATAAAAATTATAAATTATATAAAATAAAAATTTTGAATAAATATGATTTTTAATATTTAAAATATTTTTTAAATTTAAATAATAAGATTATTTCCTACAATTAAAAAAATTGTCCTATGTGTCCATAGATTGTCCACATAAGATTATCCATAAGTAAATTTTATCAAGTAAGCATGTATTCTGTAATATAATATTATATATGATATATGATTTTCATTTGCAAGATTTTTTATTTTTTAAATTATATTTTAAATATAAAAGAAGTAAAATTTTTGCATTAAGTTTTAACAGATAATAGACAAATATTTATATATTTTTAATATAAATTATAGCTTAAATATATAAATAAAGTTTTTTTTATTAAAACAAGTTATTAAATAATATTTTAAATAATATAATATATTAAATAAATAATAAAATATATTCTTTTATATATTCCAAGCATCAGAACAAAATACCTCCAATTCGATACCTACTGGACCCAAATAATTCAAATAGATAAAACTTAACACAATCTTTATTAAAAAAAATTACATTGATGGGATCGTTATAAATCGAAATTCATAGGATATAAGTTATTATATCATCTATATATTCATTAACTTTTTTTTTATAAAATTTATCTAATATATAAAATTAAAAAAAAATAAAATGGAGTGATACGTGAATTTATTAAATTAAGATAATAAATAATATTCTTAATACAATACATATATAAATATATAATTACATAAATAATAAAAATATATTTTTTATATATACTAAGATCTAGACATAACACCTGAAACCATGCTTTGATCTGAACTCAATTAAAAAAAAAAAAAACTCAATCTAATTATCTCAAATTAAAAAAAAATACACCAATTGAATCAGAGCAAACGAAATCAATCGGATACAAGTTATTTTGTCATCTCTATATCAATCGGCTATTTTATTATTAAATTTATCTAATAAAAAATAAAAATAAAATAATTTTTAAAAATAAAAAAAGAAAAAGTAAAACCAAAAATAAAAAATTTTTAAAAAATTAAAAAAATTAAAAAAACAAAAAGAGGAAGGTGCTACGTTGAAACCCGAGACAAGGCATAATACTTTAATTTGTCACGAACCTAACTTTATCTAAAAGTAATTCGATTTGATCTTGATTTAAAAAAATGCATCTATGTTTGATTGATATGAATAAAAATCAATCGGATATGGATTATTTTATTATCCTACCATTATTAACTTTTCTTTTAAAATTTTTCTAATAAAAAATAAAAGAAAAAACAAATAAAAATTTTTTAAAATATAAATATAAATATAAACATAAATTAAAAAAATTAAAAAAATAAAGAATGAAGGAAAGGAAGGGTGCTATGTGGACATCCTATGGTGTCCACAAATGATAACTTATGTTAACCCGAAACTAAATTAAGAATAATTTTATTTAAAATTATTAATTTAATAAAATAAATATAACATATATGATAACTTACTAAAATTATTTAGAATATCGAATTAATTTATACTTTTAATATCAAATTAGTATAAATTATAAATATTAGGAGGATGGCCGAACGTTGCTATGGGTTAAATTTTTTTTTGTCATCCCTATTAATTGAGTTTTTGTTTTTTTTTTTTTTTGCAAAATTAACTTAATAAAAAAAGTAAAAGATAACAAACCAATTTAGATGACACTAGATACTTAAATTGACCTCTTTTTTTCAATAAATATATAAAAATCTAAAAATAAAACTGAAAAAAAAATGAAAAAAAACTCAAAGAGAGTGCCATATGAACACTTCATTGAGTTTAAAAAATAATTTTTAATTATCAAATAATAACTTTATTGTTAGAATGCTTGTATATAAATATAAAATTAAATTAATGATAAATATAAACTTTTATATGTACTTTGAAATAAGTATAGATAAAACATTCTAAACACGTTTTCGCTCCAATCTCGTATCTCATAAAAAACTCGATCTATCTTAACTCGATTTGATTCTAAACAAAAATTGTCTCGTATCGAATTAGGAAAATTGAAATCCGTTGAATACAAATTATTTTGATGTCTTTATCAATCGATACCTTTTATCTTAAAATTTATCTAATTATCAAACATAAAAAAGGTGAAAAAGTGTAAAAAAAAAAAAAAATCAAATGGGGTACCATGTGAATATCTCCATTGACCATACTTGATGTGCAAAATTAATTTAATAAAAAATGCCTAAAAATAAAAGAAAGCAAAAAAGAATGAAAAAAATAGAAAAAAGGAAAATAAGCTCATTAGATTATATACACATCCTAATTAAGTTTAAAATATTAATCTTTTAAATTAAGACATTAAATAATAATTTTATTAATAATTAATAAAAAAGTGAACAATAAAAAAAAAAAAGGAAAAATAAACAAATGAAAGAAAATGGAGATAATTGAGTTACTATAGACATTTAAATTGAATTTAAAATGGCAATATCTTAAATTACAATATAAAATAATAACTTAATTAATATTAGATATATAAATATAAAATTAAATAGTTAATACAATATATACTTATATATATCACATGGTACTTGAGGTAAAACATTATAAATCCACTTTTCACCAATTCTTGATTTCTATTAAAAAAAAAAAAGAAAAAGAAAAAAAGAAAAGAAAAGAGAAGAAAGAAAGATGATATAGCTCTAGGGTGAAAACCCTACAAAATGATAGTCTAGAACAAACCTTGAAGGCCTTAAAAGTCAACCCATACTCTTTGAAAGATTAAAAAATGTCAAGGTTCCAAAAAGTTCAAAATGCATAAAATGGGATTATTATTGAAAATTTAAACCTTCTTTTTTTATCCCTAAATGATCTAAAATTTTGAGCCTATCACAATTGACTTTGCATCAATTAAAATGCCATATTTAGATACTAAAGAAAATGTCAAACATGTTTTGGTTTTCAAGAGATTCATATTTTTAGAAAAATTTTTGTTTCATTTGTGAGCCTACTTGAAAAGTATACATCTATTTTATTCCCTTTAAGTGGTGAAGCCCTTTTTGAATGAACTAAAACCTTTACATCTTGAACCATCAAATTTGTTGAGAAGAAAGTTGTCACCTCTTTCATGGTTATATTTTTTTTTTGTGAGCTTTATTTGTCTATTTTTGTTATCCTAAAACCGTATTTATGCATGCTTTAAGTTTAATCATGAAAGTTATCATTCATTATCAACAATATCATGTCAAATGCAATATCTTTTTCAATCAATGGATGAATAAAGAAAACAAAAAGGGTATCCATTATGATCTTGGATAATTTGGTTTCACAAATTTTTAGGAAGGAAGAAAACAAATGTACAAT